TTTGTAACGTCTACTGCCATTGTTAACGACCAAGACAAATTTCTCCCTGCGAGATGAATAAAGATTGTCATTGTCATTGTCATTGTAAAATCAGCTGCATCGAAAGAAAAAAACGCAAGTAAATTGAATAAGGCGTGTTCAGGAGCCCTGAGTTGAAAGAATTCTAATAGATTTAGAATGATCGAAATCCTAGGTAAGCTGTTGTTAATACGCCATCGAATAGCGCACAGATTCCAGTAATGTATGTCTCAAGAATGACACCCCCTCCCCCTCCTCCCCTCCCCTTCCTCCTCTAAATCTAGGCGTGTTCTGGAGCCCAAAGTGGAAATGATTCTTACACACTTACACTCACCGTGATCGAAACCCTAGCTAAGCTGTTATAAATCTAAATGTAGGCGTGTTCTGGAGCCCAAAGTGGAAATGAATCTAACATACTTACACTTACAGTGATCGAAACTCCTAGCTAAGCTGTTGTAAATCTAGACGTGTTATGGAGATGGAGCCCCGTGTGGACACGATTCGAACATACTAACGGTGATCAAAACTCCTAGATTAAGCTGTTGTAAATTTGGTGGCGTTAGAGACCCGCACGCCAAGTGATTGTGACATATTTAGAGTGGTCGAAACTGCTGGCTAAGCTATTTTGGATGCTTCATGGTTTGACTTCTGTGTCTATCGTGTGCACACACCCTAATGGCTTAGATTTTAGTTTTCGTTTTCGTCAGAATATCAAGTTGTAGTAAGTTGCACTTGCAACAAACGGGTGGTTGGAGGGTGTCACGGGTAGGTCCTACTTCTTTCCTTTCCCTCTGTTGTTTCTGTCTGTGGGTCTTACTATTTCCCAGCACTAAATGACCATTATTGTGTCGATGAGCTTCGCTTTACTCAAACAAACAAACAAACAGGCACAAAAAAGACATATATCTTCCGAAGAGAAAAGGTGTTACCACAGAGTAACATACAAAATGAAGAAGGAGAGCTGAGGACGATCAATGTTTGATTAAAAAGAAAAGAGCAGATCACACCAGAGCACGTGCCAACTCGTTTAGTTTGAGCGTTGAGGCAAAAATGAATCTCCATGTTTTTGGGGGTTTTTTTCTGTTGAGATTTCAGCTGTCTTGAGAGTTATTTCCTAGGGGAGCTGGGTGTGCATTTACATACCAACACTTGCTCTAGGAATCTGGTTTGCTTAAAATAGCAGAGTTCCGCTGCAAGCATCAGCGTGTTTCCCCCAAATATAAACAACAGCGAAGACGAACGTCTTATTTTTGCGTGTATTCCCCC